CAAGCCGCGCCCCCTCGGCGACCCCGCACCCCCTCGGCCGCCGGGCGCGCGCCGGCGCTCCTCCCCGCTTCCTCCCCATCCGCCTGCTCCTCTCTGCGCCCTACGGCTGCCCCTCTGCACCCCCTTTGCTCTCCGCCGCCCCCAGGCCTCCTCGGCGACCCCCGCGCCATGTCAGTCGCGGCAGGATAGACTGCGCCCCTCCCTGCCCCTCCCAACCCTTGCGCCCTTTTGCCACCACCTGTGCCCCTCCGCTCTCCTGGGTCACCAGACACTCCTCGCCCCATCGCCTGAGCCCGCATTTTCCTCCCCTCTCTTCCGCCTTCCCCTCCTTTGCTGCTGAGCGACCTCTCCTCCAACTCCCTTGCTTTCACGCTGGTTTTTAAGGTCTATCTGTGTAGAATCACAGCGGGTGACAATGAGCTGAAAGGGCCTTCTTCCTCATTTCACAGGAAAGGAAATCCAGCTGAAATCAAGTGAGGTGCTCCAACTCACCCAGCTATTGAGGGGTGTCTCTTACCTCCCAGGATCACACTTGCAGATTCAAAAGTAGCTGTTCCTTTTATTCAGCAGAGCCTAAAAGTAGTGGCTCTGCCTCAGGTTCCCTTATTTCCCCTCGGCAATGCGTTGATCCCATAAATGTTTATCCAGTGCCTACTGTGTGCCAGATACTGTTCCAAGGGGCCTCTGGGAGGCTATGGTGAACAAGACAAAATTTCTACTCCTTGGAGTTTAAAGTCTGGTGGTAGAGGCAGATCATAACAAGGAAACGAATAAATGAGCAAGATAATTTGAGATAATAATGTGAACAAAATAAAATCGAATGTGTGAAGGTGTGGAGGGAGGCTGTTTTAGATGGGGTGGGCAGTCAGTAAAGCTTGGAAAAATGGCATTTCCTCTGAGTACTGAATGAGAAGATGGAAGGAGAAGGACACAGACAAGGTGGAAAGGCCCTAAAACTGAATGTTTGGCATGTTCTGGGAATAGAAACACAAGACAAACATTTGGTACCTTTTCCTCTGTAAAATGGGCATGAAAGATTAGTATGGAGTTGTTAAAATAATGTGTGTAAAGTACAATGCCAGAGACAGGGTAAGTGCTCAATGAAGGTCATCTATTATTAGTATCATTTCTTTGTGCTAGGACAATATGTTAAGGCTGAAAGAAGGCTATGTGAGAATAAACAGTACCATCCTCCTCAGAGGTTGCCAAAACCTGCTTTCGATTTCAAAGATAGAAATTATTTCAGAGAGAGATGGTAAGGGAGAGCTTGCTCCGTGGTGAATCTGAGCTGGATGAATGGATTTAATAAGTAGACAGTGCCATGCTTAGAAAGAAATGTAATAGTCATACATATTCATTACTAAGAAAGAAAGAATGAAAATAAATGAATTAAACATTCCATTCATATAGTTAGAAAAAGGACATCAGAATAACACAAGGAAAGCAAAGGAAGGGATTAAATAAAGGAAAAGAACATAAATCAACGGATTAGAAAACCTAAGAAACAGAAGTCACAAAAGAATGAAAAGGCCTGGACAAGCACAAGTTACAAAACACTGGAAAACCTGAAGGTATGGAGAAAGTACTTCTAATCTCCAAAGCTGGGAACATTTGAACTTGTAGTCACAAAAGAGACCTGAAAGAAAATCCCGGGGAAATTTGGCTTAGAAAGAAATGTTCATACAAACAAACAAAAAGTTAGCTGAGGAATCATGCTGTCATTGGGGAGGAAAAGCTGAGTGTTGTGGTTACATCAACAGGCCCCACAAAGCACTAGCTAACTGCAGCTTTGTTCAAGTTTGTTGATTACGAATGAGTGACTTACTGCCAAACTGTGGGAAATCTCCTGGCAACTCTGCCTCGCACAGTCATTTCACCATACACAGGTATTTGTGTGGGTTGGTCCTTCACTGTTTACCTTGCCCCAATGGTAAAGACACTGAGTTCCAAATAATACAACAGAAAGTGTGAGTCAAGAAGAGATTTAAGAAGTACTTGTATGTTGAGGCTTGCCCTCTAGGAATCCTGAAGAGGGCAGGATCTGAAGATGCCTGAGATAGAAGACCGTGTGGACAGAGGCCCAGCTGTGCAAGTCATTCCAGCCATTCCAGCTGAGCTGCCAGTTGTAGCCACATGAGTGAACCCAGGGGTAGGTGGATTAGACAGTGGAGAAAGAATTTTTCCCTGAGCAACTAGAATAGAATTGTCATTAACTGAAATTGGGAAGACTGTAGGAGATATAGGTTTGGGGAGAATATTAGAGTTGTGTTGGGGTAAGTTAAGTTGGAGATGCCTTGGGAAATCCAGAGGGAGTTGTCAAGAAAGCAGTTAGATGTACAAATTTTGAGTACATAGGTGAGGTCCAGGCTGGAGATAAAAAAATTGGGAGTTGTTGGTATATTTAAATTCATGAGATAGTATAAACTCACTTAGGGAGTGAGTTCAGATGAGAGGAGAAGTAGTCTGAAATCTGAGTTCTGGGGTTCTCCAACATTTGGAGGATGAGGAGGAAACAATGAAGGAGGCTGAGAGGGGAGGCAAGATAGTTAAGAAGAAAAATGGGTGAGTGTAGTGTCTTGGAAGTCAATGGAATGTGTTTCAAGAAGGAAGGAATGATTAAATGAGTCAAATTCTGCTGATAAGACTGAGAAGTGACTGAAAATTATTTCTAATTGTAAAAAAAAAAAAACCCACAACCCTATAAAATAGATTATTTTTCCTTTACAATGTATAGATGAAAAAATCTGAGGATAGTTTTGCCCAAAATCCCATAGCTATTCAGCAACTGAATTAGTGATTTCAAAAAATGCTAGATAAAATACAGAAAATGCTTTCTCTGAGGGGAAACTTCTGGGAGCAGAATTCAAATTGTCCAGAACAAGGATATTAGGGGGAAAAGAAAGAGAGTATCTAGACAAAAGTGGGTGAACAGAACAGAGGAGGCAGAAGTCAGAAAATACAAGGCCATATTTTTTTTAACACCTTGCAAAAGCAACAGAAGAGGGAGGCTTAGAGCTAAGATAGTTTTATTATAACGTTCATTTAAAGGATAAATAAGCAAGAATATCTGGGAAAGCCCTGAAAAAGAAGAAAATGAGGAAAGGCTAGCCCTACTAGTTATTAAAACATTATAAAGTCCATATAAAAAGAAGATTATATTGGCACATGAATACATAGATCAATAAAACAGAATAGAATATCCAAAAATAAACCTAATTGCATCTGGAAATTTAATATGTGATAAAGGTGGCATCTCAAATCAATGGAAGAAAAACACCGTCTTCATAAATAGTGTGGAGATAAATGGATAGCCAGTGGAGAATGATACAATCATATCTGTTTCCCCACACAACATGAATTCCAAATGGATCAGAGATTTAAATTTTTGAAAGAAATAAAACTATATAAATAGTAGAAGAAAATAGGAGCAGATTCCTGTATAAGGAAGGAATTGGGGAAACTTTTCTAACTCAAAATTTAGAAGCAGTAAAGGAAGAGACTGAAATTTGGACTGTACAACAGCAGCAACAAAAAAATTTTTGCCTAGCAAAATAAGAAGACAAATTACAAACTGAGAAAAATATTTCTGACTTAGATAAAAGATTAATGTCCAATAGTGTGTTCTGGAGGGGAGGGTGAGAAGGAACCCTGATTCCTAGCACTTGCCAATTCCTATGGTGTAAGTACTCCCACGATAGCAGATTTTAAGTTGCCAAGATGACATCAACTGTACCAATGTGACATCAACTGGCTCACAAAATTCCTGAAAATTTAACAATCAGCACCTGTAAGCCAGCACTGGCCAGTTCCAGCGCACCACTGTAAATATCCCCTATATACAACGGGCTTCACAAGATGGAGAAGAAAAGGAAAAGCACCCTGTGGAAAATAGGCAAGAGATACAAACGCAGTTCACAAAAACAGAAATGAAAATAAAGAACCCTTAAGTATATGAAAAGATGTTCAGTCATACTTATAATAAAATATATGCAAATTAAAACTACAGTGAAATACTGTTTGGCAAAAATCTAAAAGTTTGACAACATAATGTCTTGACAAGGTAGTCAGGAAACAGGCACTTTTATATTTTGCTGGTGGGAATGTAAAAATGGTACAATACATGGGGAGGGAAATTTGGCAAGACCTAGCAAAATTTCATGTACATTTACCTGTTGATGGAGAAATCTCACTTCTAGGAATCTAGCCTGAAGATACACTGGCAAAAATACAAAAAGACATATACATAAGGTATTCAATGAACACTATTTGTAATAGCAAAGACTAGAAACAACACCAATGTCCATCCATCACAAAATGGTTGAATAAACTAGGGTCCAGTCATTAGTATACTGGAATACTATACAGCTGTAAAAACAAATGAGAACTATCTCTATATACTGCCATGATATGATCTCTAGTGAAAAAAGCAACATGACAAAACTGAAGGTAATGTACTACCATTTAACTAAAGGAGGAGGAGGATGTGAATATATCTTTATATTTTAAAAAAATAGAAAGATAAAATAAAAGCAAAGTTAAAAACAAACAAAAAAACCATCCTGATTAGGGGAGAGAGGGAGTGTAGCAGAGGGACAAGGATGGAGGTCAGACTTCTCTGATTATACGTTGGTTTATAGATTTGATTTTGCTAATTATGCAACAAGATTTAATCTTTAAAAAAGTTTTCAAAAGCAAGCCCTAAAAGTCAAAGACAAAATGAAACAAACGAACCTGGTTGTATAATGACCTGGTTCTATTTTTGTCAATTGCTACTGTTCTTTGAATAGCCTGCATAAATCTGAGTAGCTTCCTTTGGTACTGA